TACTACTATTAACCCAAAGGCCTCCTACGCGGAAGAATTCGATGGTGCTAATCGTGCACAACGTTTAAGCCGACAAATGCGTCGGATTTTCATGAACTTTTCGTTGGAGTCATTGCTGCTGTGATCGCTGCCGCGGTCGTGGGAATGAAAGCAGTTAAACGTCCAAACCAGCGTGTAGTGTAACAGCATCATAAGAGTTGCAATGCATTTCTTGCTTACTAGCCGCGTTTTTAGAAGCAGGTGCCTAGCAAGAAGACAGAGTAAGAATAAATTAAATAGGATTCGAAATTAATCTGAGATGAACCAATCCAGAAGTAACGCTTCTCAAGGTTGGTGATCAGACCCAAGATCGAGTTCTCGTTCTTTGTCAGCTGCATTCAAATGAGTACAGTCACAAAAAATTAAATATGGTTTCGAACCTCAAAATAGCCGATGCTGACGATCTTGTCCACATTTATTCTAATACTTTACTTCACAAGACTCAAACTTTGAGAGCCTGGTTGCTATTGCAAATAGTGTAGAATTGTGTAGGAATACCCCCTAATGAGGAAGGTATTCGCCCTGGGTACAACAAAACTTTAGTATGCGATGTCAGGTCGCCACGCTGCGATAAGCCGGTTAGATCAAATCCGATCGTATATATCCTGCCTTTTTTCACTCATGTGCTTTCTGTTTCGATTAGACTTATTCGTGAAGATGAAACGATACAGTGAGTTTCTCGACTTTTCCAACGTTTGTTCGTGCATTGAACCAATTGCGCTGAGTACTGCAGCCTATGCGACAGCACTAACATGGATCGCGGCTTGCAATTCAGCGCCAATAAAAGACAAGAATTTTATAACAGATGACCCCGCGCCAAGATCACGTAGTATCGACATTGGCGCTCCGATTACTTGCAGCGGAATTCCGTGTCCATCTTGTGCGTCACCATCCGAAGATAAAGTCCGGATGAAGCGCGACGCTCGTGTCAGGAAATCCTTAAGCATGCGTAAGTCAGATACTTTTAGATTCATTTAGATCCATCTGGTGCTTTTATATTTCCCGTTATGCAGTTTCAGCACTCTCTTTGCCGCGATAGTGATCTCATGGTATCCGTCCCGGCTGCCTATTACGGCATCTAGCACGAATACCATGAGACCACGCGAAAATTCGAGACAAAAACAAAATTCTCTACTCCAGAGAGTTGATACTGTTATTAAGAGTATTATTCTTTTTACTTTTCATATAACTAAAGTAGACACGAGAGTACATTTGTATGACAAGTGCTGTTGCGCTCGATAAGCAAAAAGTATTTAATAAACTGATCTGGAATGGGAAGCCTTCTTCTCTTAATCAAAAGCATTGCGATAGAACATCAAGCACCCATATTAACACCTCAATAATTATACTACGGAACTTACCATCAAACAGTGATGATGTTTTGTCTAGAAGCACGTCGTGACAGATCTGGATTCTAACTAGCGGAAGCGAGCAGCATGGCGAGCAAAGCGACGAGGATCAGACAAAGTAGAGGTGGAAATAATG